GAGCCAGCAGGGAGAGCACAGGACAGGAGCAATGAGGAATCTCTGAGCTGTCAGTGCTGCTGCAGCCCTGCCCTGCCTCACTCAGCACAGGCGGGCAAACAGCCCCTCCCTGGCCCAGAGCACAACAAAAGCAGGTTCTTGGTGCCTGCAGGGCTGCCCATGGCTGCCTGGGGCTCTCCTCACAGCCCAGGCTCAGCTCTGGAACTCAGCTCTGGAACTCAGCTCTAACCAGGCCCAGGCACCTCGGCCGCTCCCCCAGCCCAGATGAGCACTCGCCTGGGTTCTGCAGGGCTGATTCAATCTCAGGCTGTGACAGGAGGGACAGGCTTGGGACTGACACCACAGGAACACAGGACACCTCTGCGTTCTGTAAAATCTCCCCTCTTCCAACCAGCACAGCAGCAGCTGGAGATCAGAGGCTGCTGAGGACTGCACCGTGCCTGGCCTGAGTGGGGAATGCTGCAAGTGGCAACTCAGACATTTCACTTCAGAGAAGGGCAAGYCCAGGGCTGGAAGGGGGATGTCTGGAGGCAATGTTCTAACCTGCTCCTCCATTTGGGAAGTTTACAGGGAAAAGCATCCCCAAGAACTCCCTAAAGTCCCAATCAATCAGAGCAAAGCTGGTCTCCTCCAGCAGGAAATCTCCATCAGCTACCTGCTCCTCTCCTGCCACACTGCAGCTTTTCTCAGGGGACAGCAGGATCAGTTCAGCAATGAGAAACATCCCCAAAATATACCCAGGATGGCCATGCCTCCTCACAAGACTGTGGCTTCACTTGTGCCATCCTAACCTGTCCCCTCCACTCAGATCCTCAGCAGCCAGGAGATCACTCACCCTCCCTCTCATGTCCTGCTTCTCTGAAACTCAGTGAATCAGTTCAGATGTCTGGGGAGAGGGGAATCTCCCCGTTTGTGAAATGGAGCCTGGCCACAAAGAGCTGCTCACCGTGTCCCAGCTGTGTCTGAGCACTCCCTGGCACCCTGAGCAGAAGTTGCCCTGGAAGGGCMGTGTCCTGCCCCAGCTCAGTGGCCAAGAGCAGGGACAGCCAGTCCTGTGCTGCCCCTCKTGTTGCATCCTCGTCCCTCTTGTTCAGGTGAGCCAGGAGTGCAACACAGGATCTAACTCCAGAGATAAATCCCATCAGTCTTCTCCTAAACCTGGACAAGTCTCCCTCATGTTACYTCTCTGACAGTTGTGCTGCAGGAGGAAAGTGCAGCATTTTTCCTCTCCAGATAACCGAGTTAACCCGATGTTGGCTGCTCCTGCTCCCACCTCACACGTCTGGGCAGGCATTGCTGCCTTGCTGCACCAGCCAGCCATTCTTGTCCTCAAAACCAGCAGCACCTTTGCCTGTGCAAAGAACCCTYATGGAGAATGCAAAGAGATTCCAATGAAATGTCTCAGTTAAGCTTAGGAAGAACGRTGACAGTGTAAAAGGACAGCACACGGCAAAGGCACCAGCACACCACAGTGCTGCACAAGAGCTTGGGGAGTGGAGCACCCAGCACAAGGGGACACAACAGAAGCTAGCACGGTCAAGAATAAGTCACTTTTGGTACAATTGCAAAAAGATATCAAACAGGACTTGCCTCTTTTTTGTCTTTTTCTAAGTTTTATAAATAAAGTCTGATAACTCTTTATAAAAACTAACCTCAGAGCCACAAACAGTTTGCGGGAGGTTCATGAGAAACTTTAAAATTATTTATTTATTAACTTTTAACTAGCAAAGTCTCTGAGAATATTTCCCCAGTCATATGGTCAAATATTCTCGCCTTCTCAGGTAAAAAAGCTGACTATAAATATGCTCTCTCCTCTGTCCAATTTTAAACTTAGATAATTTAATAACTCTTAAAATGATGTTTCTCTCTTTAAATAAAGGGCTATTTAACCACATAAACTGGTTGTGTAAACCACCACACTAGAGACACTTGATACCCTCCAAACACGGGAACAACTAGTGATTTTGGTCTTGTTCAGTGCAACACATTAGGCACAAAACCGGCCTGCAGTCAACACCATCCCACTGCTCCCTTCTTCCCTCGCCAGGGCTCTGCAGGGCTCAGGAGCAGCAGGACAGGACTCAGCAGTGTCACCTCCTGCCCATCACTGCCTCTTGACACAGCTAACGCCACGGACGGCTGAGGAAAACCACCCTTAGGGCACAGAGGCACAGCTAGAAAGGAATAAAAACCTATGACACAGAACACCCCAACTGGAACTACAGGTACCAAAGGAGACAAAAGCAGCAGGTTCAGGCACCGAAATGCACCACCTGGAAGAGWAATGAAATAAAGCCTTTGGAAGTGACCACAAACGAGGGTTCCCAGCCCCCAGGAAGAAAGTTTTGCACAGGCCACCCCTCTGCCCTTCCGTCAGCCACGCTGCACAGACTTTCTTTGGGTAGAAAACCAAAATTTCACAGTCTGTCCCCGGGGCACCCGAGGGCTACAGACTGCCGGGTGGGAAGCTCTGTCTGCACAGGACAAGGGATGTTCACCACTGCTCATACCAATCTGGACACAACAAAACAAACTGCAGCCATCAGCGGGCCAGTCCTGGGCCAAGTCAAAGGAACCCAGCCCCGTGTGGGAAGGGCTTGTGCTTTGGGGATTCCAGGCTGGTTTTGTGCCTAACTGCCTGCACAGACAAGCTCAGGCAACGCTGCCTTCACTAAGAGCGGGCGTCCGTCTTGGATTTCACTATTGTGATGACACTGGTGGTAGCAACCTTGCCAGGGACCAGGGGCCCCATGCTGGAAGTGAGAGGTCCCCGAGCAGGGGTCACAGGGCTCCGGGCCACGGTTCTGGCGAAGTTCTGCAGAGCCTCGTATTTGGAGCGGAGAGCATCCAGTTCCATTTTCATGCTGGCGTTCTCGGAGGCCAGCTTCTCCACTTCTTGCTGCAGCTCTGCCTTCTGCTTCTCCAGTTCCTCCTTCTGCGTAACGCGCTTGACCCTGCAGCTGGCTGCGTAGCCGCGGTTCTTCAGCGTGCGCCGACGCTGCTTCAGCTGGATGATCTCCTCTTTGGACAGCCCACGCAGATGCTGGTTCAGCTCTCGGACAGACATGGTCACCAGCTCCTCATCTGTCAAGCTGGTCCCATTCTCACCTGGCTCCCTCTTCACCTGGCAGGGAAGGCAGCACACACGGGTCAGATCTGAGGAGGAGGCCTGTGCCCATCCCTGCCCCCTTTCCTCACCCACCACCTTACCTTCAAGGCCTTGTTTCCTTTGTTGGGGGTCGTCATAACACGACAGCCTTGTCAGCTGGGTTCTGGAAGGGAAGGAAGGTCAAGTTAGCACCCAGGACACATCAGAAGCCATGGCATTCCTGAGGCAGGGTCCTGCAGCAACACCTCACCGTGCTGCACACCCTGGTCCCCGCTCACCCTCCTCCTTGGAAGACACTCAACAAGCAGCAGAMTCTGTCCCTGAGCAGGAACTGATGCCCTTCCACACCCCTGCTCTCATGGASACTTTATGGCAATGCTGGTTTTTTGTTTACAGTGGAGGAAATTAAAAAACTAGGAGGAGTCAGAATACATAGAAGGCACATTTTTAAAAATAACCCTGCAGGCAGCAGGCAGGTCCAGAGCACGGCTGCTCCAGGCCAGTCATGCTGACTCAGCAGSCTGGCACTCTGCACCACTTTCTTCCAGCTTCATCCTTGTCACTCCCAGGCAGTGCAGGTCACCTTAACCAACGCTTCCAACAGGTGCCCAAGCACAGCTCAGGAGCTCCCCAGTTCTACAGCTCCAGATGCCCTCAAGGATGCAGCCAGSAGGGTTCAATAAAACATAACCCTGGGGAAGGAGCACAGGGGAAGCCTTGGACACACTGGAATTTCATCACAAATTTGGGCTGATGCATCARCAGCCTTCACCTCTCCCGTTCATGCAAAGCTGAACCCAGCTGTAGGTCTTTCCTGTGAGAAAGWACCTGTCAATCCCTGGCATGCCAAGGCCCAGAACCAACTTCTTCCTCCTTATCTTCAAAGTGAGCTCACAAGAGAAAAAAGATTAAAGGTGACAAGAACAAGAGGAGAGCAGACTCCTTCCCTGCCACGTAAGACAGRACTTCAGAACTGGTAAGAGCAATTCCCAGGTGTGCTTTACAGAGCCTTATACCCAGGCTCCTGCTTCTGTCCCCACAAACCTCCTTCCCTCAGGCTTTTCAGTTCAGAGTGCTACTACACTGCCCAAGGAATTGCTCCACACAGACACAACCTGACAGACACGGCTGTGCCTTGAGCAACCCAAACTGCAGTCCTGACCAATACTCCCGTGCAGCCTACAGGTGCCTCTGCCCCTTGCACCTTACAGGTGTTCAACAACAATTTTGTTTGTACCTTACTGCCACCAGGGCTGATGTCCCATTACAGACCAAAACCAAATCCACACATCAGCAAA